TTGGTTTGCTGGAACAACCTTGAATTTTTGCTACATCGGCGTTTTTGATTTTTGCTGGGGGACAACTTTCATTTTTTTTTTGTTTTGCAATTTTTGCTACCACCGTTTCCTTGGTTTGCTGGATCCGATGCAATTTTTTGCTACATTCGGGATGGATGGAGCTGCATGATAGGGAGCTGCATCTTAGTTTTTTGCTGGAACCGGGACACGGATAGCTGCTACCGGTGATTTTTTTGCTTCAACGGAGATGAGACCCAGAGAGTTTTTTTGCTGGAATGAAATTTCTTCATGAGGTGCGGTGGCGAGGCATTTTTATTTTTTTGTGCTGTAATTTGTGCTTTTTTGCTGGAACCATGTTTTGATTTTGCTACAACGAGCATTTGATTTTGCTGGAACCGCATGAAGCAGATTTGGGACCAGTTTTTTTAGTAACTGATTTTTGCTGCAACCATCCAACTGGCGAGCGGGCCCGGGGAACGGCGCCGGTGAGCTGCTCCGGCGAGCGGCGACGGCGAACCGGTGAGCGGGTCCGACGAGCCGGCGAGCAGCGGCCACCGAGCTGCAATCGTCGCTACAGGGAGCTAGAACCGCATGGTCACGTTGCTGGCGCGAAACGCAGGAGGCGACGTCGGCGACCGGTGACGACGACGGCGACCGGCGGCGAGGGCAGCGACAGGGAAGACACGGAGGAGGTGCTTCGAGGCTGGCGCGTCGTCGTCTATGAAAACTTTTTATAAAAAAAAAGACATTCGAGGGAAAGGAAGAAGTGAATCGTGCGGCTGCTGATTGTTTAATCGTACGATGCTGGTACGACCGGCCCAAATTTGGGCCGGCGCACCGGCGCCCATCACTCGCCTTCATAAATGAGTCTAACATTTGATTTCTTCCGATCTCTCCCCAAGTTAGATTAATGGTATAGTTGCAAGGAAACAAGTTTCTTGAGGAAGGTCTCTATCTCCGCCATGTCCTAATGAGGAGGATAAATCAATCGGTTTTGCTGAAACTCAGCTAGCAGAGTTTATCTGTGGTCTCATTCACGTTGACGTCCATCTGATGTAAGAACGCGCTGACATTTGTGCTACTATCGAGAAGATGTGGGGCGCGGCCTGTTATCTGTTTTTCTTAGTGTGCGGCACGTCTTGCGCCGGTTTGTCAGGGCGGGCGTGCTGGGTGTGTTGTGCTTTTATACTTGACTGTTTTGAATGGATGTACCTGGCCTCGTTTCGCCGGTGTATTGTGCAGAACAGGGAGAGTCAAGGCAAGCATTTATGTACTTCTCGTGAGCTTTTCCTCCATTTGCCCACTCAGTCTTTATTTTTTTTATTTTTTTTATGTTTGTAGAGGGCAGGCCTGGCGCAGTGGTGAAGTCCTCCCCACTTGTGCCAAGGGGTCCTGGGTTCGAACCAGCCTCTCTGCATTGCACTTTGCAGGGGTAAGACTAGATTCCTATAATCCCTCCCCAGACCCCACCTTGTGTGGGAGCTTCTATGCACTGGGTCTGTCCTTTTTTTTGTATGTTTGTCTTGAATTTCTTATTTGTGCTATTTTTCATTTTTTGCGTCATCAGTCGTCAGATCGATTTGCGTCGGGATTCATGTAGGTTGTCCAATGAACGTTACACGCGGCTCGTTGTTTTGTGACCTGTCCTTCAATTTTTTCTGATTGTTTGTTAACGATGCTCACGACCCATGATGATTTTTGCTTTCTATTTAAGAAAACCTAAATCGACGGGCAATGGTTGTTCATTCGTCTTCTTTTCATTTTTAAATGGGATTAGAACTACATGTTTTCCATAGGGTAGTCGTTTTTTAGGGGATTGCAACTGCATGTTTTTCAAAGGCCGGCCACAAACTGCAAGTTTCTCTAGGGTACCCGCAATTGCAAGTGTTTCAAAGGCCGGTCGCACCTACAAGTTTCTCTAGGGTAGTCACAATTGCAAGTTTTTAAGGTCGGTCGCAACTGCAAGTTTCAAGTTTCTCTAGAGTAGTCGCAATTGCATGCTTTTGAAGGCCAGTCGCAAGTGCGAGTTTCTCTAGGGCAGTCGCAATTGCAACTTTTCAAGGCAGGTCTCAACTGCAAGTTTTTCTAGAGTAGTTGCAATTGCATGTTTTTTAAGGCTGGTCGCAACTGCAAGTTTCTCTAGGGTAGTCGCAATTGCATGTTTTTGAAGGCCGGTCGCAACTGCAAGTTTCTCTAGGGTAGTCGCAATTGCAAGTTTTTGAAGGCCGGTCGCAACTACAAGCTTCTCTAGGGTAGTCGCAATTGCATGTTTTTGAAGGCCGGTCGCAACTGCAAGTTTCTCTAGGGTAGTCACTATTACAAGTTTTTGAAGGCCTCTCGCAACTGCAAGTTTATCTAGGGTAGTCGCAGTTGCAACTTTTTAGGGTGGTCGCAACTACATGTTCTCTCCCTTTTCTTTTTTGTTTTCTTTCGTTTTACATTTTCTTTTTAAAAGGTTTTTCTCTTTTAAAAACGTTCATGATTTTCAAAAAATACTTTGCAAATTTTAACAATTTTTTGTGTTTACACAAACGTTCTAAACTTCAAAAAATGTTCCTATTTTGAAATTTTATTCATGAATTCAAAAAAGTCCGTGAATTTTAAAAATGCTCATGCTTTTTAAAATTTTGTTCAGAAATTGAAAAATCTTCCTGTTTTCTAAAAAATTTCACTTTATTTTATTTTGTTCACAAATTCAAAATAGTTGGGGAACTTAAAATAATGTTTCCGTTTTGTTCAAAATCTGTTCACAAATTCAAAAATGTTCATGTTTTCAAATTTTGTTCATAAATGCAAAAAATGTTTGGGAATTTCTAAAGATTTTTTTCAAGTTTTTTAAATATAATTTTTCAAGAAATATTTGAAAAAGTACTAAAACTGTTCGATCTCTCATGATAGATAGTTCTTGAAAGTTTCATGGTGTAACAATGCCCATTAGCTGTGGTGGCTTACAGCACGCATTCAGCATTGTTAGATCGTGAGTTCAAGATCCCATATAAGCGCTTTTCCGGCCTTTTTTTTATGACCCACGTGATACAGCGCTGCATCTGCCAATGGACCGGCTTGTTTTAACACCCAATGACTTGTGAACAGGCCGAAAAGCCCAAACGGCCTGTGCGGGAATTAAATCAATTTGACAGCCCAATAGACGCCACCACTAGACCGCGTTGGATTTCGGGAGCCTGGTTACGAGGAACAACCAAAAGCGGGCTTTGTCTCAAAAAAGAAAACAAAAGCGGGCTGGGACAACTATCACGTGATATCAGTTTACATCAGGTGAATGAGATCATATTATAACTCAGCTAGATGAGTTCTAGGCACTCCCTAAATCAATTGGTTTGAATCCCAGTCCCATCCCCGCTGCACCATGATCACAATCCAGATAGTGTTGTCGGGGGGAGAAGCTGGTTACAGACACATGCTTGGGTTGACTCAAGTGTGAACGTTATGGGATGCGTACGAATATGATAAGCCTAGAGGTGGAGATGACTATTTAGAAATGGTTTCTGAAAGAGAGCAATGCAAGCAAAACATTAACAAAGTGTTATCACTAGGTCGCGCGAGTGCAAGAAAAAAATGTCGAGCTTTGTGTAGCCTCGTTCCTTTGAACCAATGTGTCGCATTGATTCCCGCAAAATAAAAGTGTTCCATTGAAAAATGAATTCAATTTAAAGTTGAAATCCTTTAAAAGTTCCAAAAAGAAAACCCAAATGATAATCCATGCGTGGCACGAGGCACTTTGACATCGACATTTTTTTACAGCTAACTAAACTTGTCATTCAAAAAAAAAGAAAAAAAATTGAAACTTGCCATGCTAACCTGTTTGGATCCATGGGTTAGAGTTAGTTTAGGTTATTTGGACTCAACTAATCCAAAAATATCCAAACATGGGCCTTGTTTGGTTTCACGAGTTAGAGTTAGTTTGGATTAGTTTGGACTCAACTAACCCAAAAATATTCAAACAAGAGGGTTAGTTTGGGTTAGATGCATCTGACCCACCTATAAAATCCAACACACCCAAGAGGTGCTTATTTGAGTTAGTTCTCCTTGGGACCATTAAAAAACATTTTTTTCTCTCGCTCTGCCCGCAGTAGATCCCTCCCCAGTTCCTTGAAGCTTCTCGTCCTCTCCCTCCCTCCCTCTCGCATCGCCCCTGAAGGCGCCTCGTCGTATCCGCGCTCCCATCTACCGCCGGTAAGCAACCCCGCCCTATCCTCCCATTCCAACCCCCTCGTCTTCCCGCTGCCCGTCCGCCCACCGGTAAGCAGTCGCGGCTCCTTGCGCGGCCCGTCCCCGTCGGCCTCGGCCAGCGCGACTCCTTGACAGGGACAACGGATTCGGTCGGCGGGCTGCGCGAGAGGCCAGCGCAGCTCCTTGCCGGGCGTGTCCCCGTCTGCCTCGGCCAGGGCTCGCTCCGCCAAATCCGGCAGGAAAAGGGGTCCAAAGTAGCCAAATGATTGAGAAAGGGTATTTATTGTCAATCTAACTCTGCCGTCCAAACACCTCTTTGGTTAGAGTTAGTTCAGAGTTGGTTCATGGTTAGAATTTAATTCTAACCTCTAACTGAGTTAGAGTATCCAAACGGGGCCAGGGGTTAGTTTGGGTTAGATGCATCTAACCCACCAAAAAAACTAACCCACCCAAGAGGTGCTTATTTGGGTTAGTTCTTCTCAGGACCATTAATTTTTTTTCTCTCGCTCTCCCCGCAGCAGATCCCTTCCCACTTCCTCGAAGCTTCTCGTCCTCTTCCTCCCTCCCTCTCACACTGCCCGTGAAGGCGCCTCGCCGTATCCATGCTCCATCTAACCCTGCCATCCAAACACCTCTTTGATTACAGTTAGTTCATGGTTAGAATTTAACTCTAACCTCTAACTGAGTTAGAGTATCCAAACAGGGCCAAAGTTGCCACCTCGTATCATTAAACTTGCCATAGAAAACTTCAACCCAATCATTGCTACCAATATCAACATGGGATCCGTGAACAGATGGTTCTAGAAGCACCAGTCCAAATTCAGTGTCGAGCACTTGGCTCCAATATCACTGACATGCCTTATGCCTCCATCGTACCCGAGCCATCATCCTCCATACCTCTCTCTCGGTGTACAGTGGTTGGATAGTGTGAAGGTCTCGACCCTTTGTCATATGCTTGACTCAATTTGGGCACAGCAGTCTGGACAGGAAGTTATTTTTGAGTGGGTGCAGTGGCTGGAGAGTTCTACGCTCTCTCATCTTGGTTTTGATGGCGGGATAATCATACACAAGTCTGATAGTACGATGGCTCCTGTGGATGCTCGTGTTACTGGAGAGATTCTGTCTGTAGAGGATGTTGTTCAACAGTTGATCAGCTATGATGAAGAGCAATGCCTTGAAACATTTCGTCGTGGCCTCCATGTCTACACAATTTGTTTCAGTGAGCACCCAGGTAATTCAGATGCTCCATTTGATGCTTGGATACTCTCCCTGCTGCTCATTTCACAACTACATCTCCATCATAACTTAAATCTGTTGTTTTGAAACAGTAAGGGAGAACACTACTGATACAGTATATATTGGACACTGAATTGGTGCTCCATGGAGCCAGGGCACCATGATTTATGCACAATCCAAACCAAATTTTGGTATAGTTTTTGGAAATTTTAGTTCTGGTGTATAATGCCTGATTATTAGAATTCAGATACTCTACATTCTGGGATATTGATGGGTATATCTATTTTTTGCATACCATACTGCTTTTATATAAAATCAACGTATATCTGCGGTCAAACAATCATTAGAAAAAGTAACTATGTTTTGGCTTTAGTTCAAACTTCTTTCAACTAGTTAGTAGACAAGTTAAACCTGATAAGAAATATAAAATTATTTTGCACCCCATATCTAGGCGAAACTAACAATGTGGGCCATGGCCCCTTTACTACCATTAGTAGAAAAAAGGTCTTTAGTCCCGTTTCTGGAACCGGGACTAAATGGTCGGTACTAAAGCCAAAACATAGTTTCGGTTGGTACTAAAGGCCCTCCACGTGGCCGCTGCCTGGAGGTCCACCTTTAGTCCCGGTTGGTAAAGGAAATTTTATGATTTTTTTTGAAAAAAAAATTGATTTTTTTTATTTCAAATTTCTGAATTATTTTAACCTCTAATCTCTAATCACCCCTCATCACTGGTCAATTTAACCTTTAATCTCTAATCACCTCTCATCATCTAACTTCCTGAACGATCACCCATCCTCTCACTACTCCAGCCTGAGCACGCTTAACTTTCGGGTTCTATTCTCCCTCGTTTCCAAGTCTGCACTTGTTGTTTTCCTGACAATAGTAAGATGTCAATCCTATTAACCCTCAGGAATTTAGCTTGATCATGAAGTCACACATTTCATTGTTTGAGTTTGAAACTATTGTTCTAAAAAACAATAATTATTTAGTAACACTAATATTTCTTGAATAAGTAGTTTGACCACAGTTTGACCATAGTTTGACCAGATTTGACCAAAATTCAAAAAAACTGAAATAATTATTTAGTAACACTAATATTTCTTGAATAAGTAGTTTGACCATTGTTTGACCACAGTTTGACCATATTTGACCAAAATTCAAAAAAACTGAAATAATTATTTAGTAACACTAATATTCTTGAATAATTATTTAGTAACACTAATACTTCTTGAATAAGTAGTTTGACCATAGTTTGATCGGATTTAACAAAAATTCAAAAAAAAAACTGAAATTTGAGCATAACTTTTTTTCCTTTTAGAATTTGAGGATTCTAAAAATTTGCAAACGGGCCATAGGCTGTCAAAATCGGAAGCGGATTTTCGTTCTGAATATTTTGATATATTATACGTTTTTTTCCGACATCGTATGCAAAAGTTATAGCCGTTTTACATTTTCCCTACATTTTTTGCAAAACATGTCTAAATTTAAGTTTTTAAATTTTCCTAACTAGTAGATGTAGTAATATAACTACCTCTCGAAGGATTTTATTTTTTGAAGTTTTTATCATTTTCTTTTGATTTTTTCGAAACAAAAAAGGCGATCCACAAACCGGGACTAAAGGGCTCAGGTGAACCGGGACTAATGCCTTAGTCGCACGAACCGGGACCAATGCTCACATTAGTCCCAGTTCGTGACTGAACCGGAACTAATGCCTTAGTCGCACGAACCGGGACCAATGCTCACATTAGTCCCGGTTCGTGACTGAACCGGGACTAATGCCTTAGTCGCACGAACCGGGACCAATGCTCACATTAGTTCCGGTTCGTGACTGAACCGGGACTAATGGGCTGACCCGGCCTGGACCTTTGCCCCCTTTTCTATTAGTGTACATATATCATGAGGAAATACAAGTTAAAGGTTCTGCAGGAACCCAGATATAGTCCAAATGCCTATGAAGCTAATCCCTTATTGAATGATAAGCTTACTTTCCCTGTAAAAAATTAATATTTATAAGCTTCTTTACACAGTTTCTATAATTGCAACATTAGCACAATTAATCATGTTCATGTGTCATGCTGCTGAGGTACATCCTCATTAACAATCCAAGTTCCATCATGCTTAGAGTCTGGAATATTTAAAAGTTTAATCTGTATCTTAATTCTTTTGATTCCCCTCAGGCATCGACTTCGTAGAACTTCCATGCCGTCATTACTATTGCTGGAGGTGCATGGAGACATACTCAAAGTTGCATGTCAAGGATCAGTCCTGAAATTGGTGTGCCCTGATGACAAATGTGGATGTTCTATTCCTCCTAAACTATTGAAGAAGTTGCTTGGAGATGCAGGTTTTGAACGGTGGGAAAGATTGGTATTTCAGAAGACTCTAGACTCAAGGGCTGATGTAGCTTACTGTCCAAGATGTGAAACAGCTTGCCTGGCAGATGAGGACAGCGCCCAGTGCTCCAATTGCCTCTTCACCTTCTGCGTCCGCTGCAGAAATCGTCGCCACGTAGGGGAGAGATGCATGACTCCAGAAGAAAAACTTATTTCTGTACAGGTTCAAAATCCATATAAACACTACATATTCTTTCTTTTTTTGAAATAAGTGTTAGCTAACTGTCCATGTTCTGATTAAAATCCATCTAACGGTGCATATTCTGTTGTAAGTTTTAGCTGTTATGTTTAATACGAGAGCTAACTTCCAACATATAAGAACACAACTATTGGGAATGCCAAAATTATCATTGGATATTTCATAGAATAGATAACTTATTCATTTTTTCAGAACTGTAAACATAGTTTTCTTTAGCTCTTCACTGTTGAATGGCGAATCATGGAATCTAGTGAAGTTCCAGACATGGGAATGTCTGTGCTGTGTTTAGTCGTACTAGATGACCCGTTGCGCCAATGGCGCAAAGGCCGAGAGCGAAACAAGTTTTCAAACCATGCAAGTTAGAATATTTATTATTTAGAGACCAACACCTACTTATATTGCCTTGTGAATGTTACTATACTACGGAATTAGGAGTGATAACATGGTGTATTCTTTGATAGCTATTTCCCCCATTCCCTCCTATTTATAGAACTGTAATACTTACAAAAGCACACTGGTTAACAGATCACACTTCTACACAAACAAGTAAATGCATAAGATGTTTATATCAGGGAATAACCTTTGCAACGTTAAGTAAAAGGTTTCATATGAGATATATTGATAAGCGGTAACATATGACCAATAAGCATGTGATGTGTTCCACTATTTAGTTTCAATCACAAGAAGTTCCAGGTACCCATCAATTTCATATAAGCATTTTATAATAGAATTTTGGACAGTCTCAAAAAATGTGCACCACTAATTAACACATGCAACCATTCTTACATAGCGAAGGCAAAGCTTCAATTACTTTCAGTAGCTTGAAACTCAGAAACTCAGAAAGCATAATTTGTTATCAGTCCTGTACAAGGCTCATTTAATTTTGAAACCTTCTTATGCTTGAAACCATCAATGTAGAAACTGAAACATCACTGTGCACAGAGGTTATCATTCTACTGAGTCACCGGACGAATAAACACATATCACCATGATCAAGGCCTCGACCAAGTGACATGTCTTTTAGAAAATATATGTAGAATCTCCCGTCGTCGGACTTAGTCCCCCGAAATGCGGAGACCTAGAGACATAAAAACAAATTAGCACCACATAGTTAATGACAGAAAACCTATCAATGAAATTCCATCTAAGCCACCGAAATTTACCGGTTGCGCCAATGACTCAAGTACCTGATTTAAAACAATATTTATCTGCTTAGCATTTGGTACCGACATTTTTTCCAGAGAATAACATCACAAGTTTTAGGATGCCTTTTCTAATTGAAGACGTAAAATCCCCGCTTACATCATGGACTATAACAGTGTCCCTTTGACTAATATATATGTAATAATATTAATGTATGAACATGTATATCATACCAGTGTGCCTCTGCTAGTTAACTACCCTTTATTATAAGTGTGCAACAAGCATTACCCTTTGCATATATAAATAGTAAGCAGGCGATCTGTTGGATTCTATAACCCATATATTAAAAATAAAATCCTTTATCGTAAGTAGCTACCATTGGTTTGGACATACGTAAACAATAAGCAGGTGGTATACACTGAATTCTGGAACACCCGCATTAATTATCTGTGCACTTAGCCTTCCCTTATCAGCAAGCAGCAAATATTCTCTCAAAGAAGTAATCTCATGTATTGCAAAAAGCTAAGATAACTGGGCACATCCCACACACGTTGATATTAACCAACATGCACATATTTGTCCTAAAGCAGTAAGCATGAAGCAAACCAATCATAAGCACTAACAGGAAAAACCTTCTCATGTCTCCCAACAGTTCAAAAAACCTTCAGGAATGCCTACTAATTAGCAAGGCCATGTTCTAGCGTACAAAAAAATTATTTCCATCTAGTATATAATGCAGAAGCAAGTATTCTCTGGAAGGATATATATATTCATATATACCAAATAGACATAGTATAAGTTCCAACGATAATGTCATACCTATAGCAGAGACATAGCCTCAAGAAACGCTGTCCATAGTAAAAAAAACCATTGCAGCAGAAACCAGAAGCCAACATCAGTGTGGTTCGCAAGAAGAGGAAGCCATTCTGTTCATGCCTAGCACAACAGCAAATTGAAGAGAACCTACATTACACGGCATAAAATCCTGTTAAGAAGAAAATCTAATGTGATATGTAACTATATGGATACACTCGAGTTGTTATAATTACTTAGGAATTTTGAATGGAAAATTTAAGAAAATAATTCAAATTATTGCTTTTCCTATAGGGGCCCTATAACCAGAATATAGCTGCACAGAAGATCATCAGGTAAAAAAACTTTAGTAGATTCATGAAAAGCAAATGCCAAGATAAAAGGTCTGACATAACTGTCCAGATTTTGTATCAACCAGTCATATATATACAAGCATTTTACCTCTATAAACAACATTTTAATGGTGGAGTAATCAATCTAAACAATTTTAAATTAAAAACAAAATATCTAAAGACTAAGCTCTAGTTCATGTATTTTAGAGAAGTTCAGTTCGGCGAAACTACGGAAGCAAAGGTCTGAAGATATGATACACGTCGAACTATGTATTTCCATCAGCCTAAAAATTCTGAGAATTACATGGTACCGATACACGTCGAACTCTGTTAAAGCAGTACAGTTACAAGGCCATAAAGACGGTTCAAGTAACGATGCAGGGTGCTGAACAGACCTGCTTCAACTTCTTCAGAGATTCTTCTACATCTGCTAGCTTCTCTGAAACTGTTTTCTCGAGATCAGAAGAGTAACCTTTTCCTTCTTCCATGTTTCAGAGGTAGTATTTGAGTGTGAGCAAAGTGCCTTCCACACAGAAGAACTGTTGAAAAGACAAGTAACAGCAAGATCTTTCCTACACAAGCAACAGCAAAGAATTGTTGAGAGTATCGTCAAATTTAAAATTTCTGAGCTTTTATGACAAATTTTGACCCAAAAAAAGTTATCGGAATTTTTAAAATTTTCACAGATCATCAACCATACCAGGTGTAGCAATCTGGGTAATTTTCACAAATATACCTACCAAATGTACTAACCTGGGAAATTTTACACAAAAAATATGAATAATTCCTAGAAGGAAGGCAGTGGTAAGCGAATAAATTTCAGTTCAAATCGGCATTGTTCCAAATACCGGCCAGTTAATTGGCATCTCGGTCAGTTAATCGCTACTCGGTTGGTCAGCGAATTCGCCTATTTATCCCTACTCAGCACCCGGCCAATATGGTACCAATTACCGATATCCTGAATGTTGCAAATCGGGTATCTAAACTATTCTCTCAGCAGTATAATTGCATTCTTATAGAAAAGAAAGCAAGTAAAAAGTAGGAGGTACTTTCTAGAAAGCAGCAAGATTGAAGTATACACTGATTTATTTGTAAGATGTATCTTTATTATATTCAGCATATAACATGGTTGACAACAATAGGGGGTAGAAATAAGTATTGCTAGAGCTTTGAACAAAAGCTAATTACTATAGCTCTGTATTGCTGCATGTTGTTATCTGAATTCAGTAAATCTACTATGCTTGTGCTCTTTAGGAAACATCTCCAAAGATTTGCAGCAATTTCAGTATAACATCTCCAGGTTTTTGATGTCATGTTCATTATTATTCTTTCGTATAGAGTTGTTTACTAATTTCAGTTCTTCTTGAAACATCACATATCACTGGCTACTGCTTCTTTTCCAAAATGGGGAATGCGGCAAAAATACATAGCCTAAAATTACATAATACAACCTTGATCGACAGTTTGCAAGAAGAACTTCAGAAAATAAGGGAATATTAAGAAAAAAAGAAACAGAGAAATATTGTAATGGTTACGAAGTTGTCTTTCTGAATGTGATCAGCCCTTCTAAGGTAATATTGCAATATGCAAGGTGCACAACACCTTGTAAGTTGCAGAAACACATATAGGGATCTTAAAAAAACTCAAACCTTCGAAGCACTGTCACTATCTAAATAGTAAATTCTAATTCTTGGGAACTTAGAAAGATAAAATCAGTGCTGACATGCTAGTGGAGAGCATAGTGAACACAATAGTGCTTAAGAAATTTGTCTGCGGTCTTCTCTAGATATGGTTATAACATCACCTTGCATGAATACATCATGGCATAGTTGAGGGCATTGGACAATCTCTACATGCACTGGGTGGTCTATTTAATATTCTTAAAGGATCCATGTCAAAAGATAAGATTTGACGGTATAAGTAGAAGAACACATGTGTAGTTATTGACAGAAACAGAGAAGTAACTATAATCCAAACAATGCTTCAGCAAGAAAACCTACTTGCTCTTAACTGGACAGCAGTCATTGCTCGCGAAGTGTTGTTGGCCATCTGAAGAGCAGGTGCAGGAGAGAGACGAGTGGCGGCCTAATTTTGGCTGTCATAAGGGTCGGGATCCGCCTCCCTTAGCTTCTTCACATCAAGGACTGGCCTGAACTTATTTGGGTGTCGGTACCCTGACTCTTGGAATGTAACAAAGGATCAATGGATTAGTAACAAAACTAACTGATTGTAGCTTGCATACGTTATATGCACTCACTATTTTACTGAGACATATCAACACTATAATGTAGAAAATGCATGCAGATCAACATAACTGCACAAAAACCACCCATGCATGACACTGAAAATTGTACGAGAGGCTAGAGCTATTTTGTGCTGATCGAAACAATATATATTCAAGGAAATCTGTATTTATACATGGATAATATCTAACTTGAAAGGCCAAATTAGATTTAGGACATCAAACTATGGCCTGTTTGAGAACACCAAACTAAACTCCTGCCTGTTCAATTCAGAAGACGAAAAAGCTTCAGCTGGTACAACATCAAAGCGATTTTTGCAGAGTTAGAGAATTTCATTGTCGTGAATTAGTGGACAGCGAGATTTAGGCATTTTTTCCATTGGAATTAACGGCACTCTTTAATCCTCACGGTCATCCAGATGTATATAGTACATACCAATCTAGCATACAACTGTATGGCCCAGCTTGAATCACATGGGATGATGAAATACATAGGCTATGGATATGACGAACCTGAAAAAGATAGGCAAATAACACAAATGATTACCTGCAGGCTGCATCGTCATTCATACTTGACCACTTAAATCTTGGAGGCCGTCGTCCATGCTGATGCTTGGCCCTTGCCATCCAAGCCGTCTCTATCTTGGATGGCCGACATGGAGAAAGGGGCTGGAGGAAGAAGATGGAGAAGCCGTGGATCCGAGGCCTAGATTGGGGACGAATTAGCCTTCCTATATTAGACACCAATTCATTGACTAAAAAGAAAGTGGCGAGAGAAATCCATACCTGATGGATAGTACAGAATGGGATGAAATCATATGTCCCCAGCAAAGCATCTCCATAGAAGAGGTAAAGAGAGTGGGGCGGGGGCAGATGGCCGTCGCTCCCGCTCCCGTGGTCTCGACCGCCACCTATTTAGGCTATTGCAGCCCGCATCGCTCGATTTCGCTGCGTCCCTTCTTCCTCCTTCAGACCACGGCCAGGCAGAGAGAGATCGAGGAGATGGATGACGAGGGTAGCCAAACCCTAGCCACATGAGCTCCTTCCTCCTCCACGGCCAACACAGCATGGCCAGCTGCTGCTCCCCTCCTCCTGCCGAGTCTGGATCGAGGCCGCGCTCGTGGAGGCAGAGCACGGGACGACCGCATCTGGGCCACCACGCGACACGGACGAGGCGCGGCTGGCTGTTGCCCCCTCCTGCCGAGCCGCTCCTCTGCTCGAGCTCAAGGTGGCTATGGCGACGAGGCGGAGAACAAGGGTTGGAGGTCGCCGGTGGCCAGTGAGGGCGAGGCGAGGCCCTGGCGCGGCGGTAGCGGGAGAGGAGGCGGCGGCGGGGGTCGCGAGGGAGCGAAAGGAATCGAGGATGACGTGAGAGGGGCTGACGAGGGAGATATTTTCATCTTCGTGGCTAATTCAATCGCACCGAAACAAGGCGAAACCCACCTCATGAGGCCCACCCGCCATCGACTCTTGAAGCAGCCCCCAACGTAAAAAAAGACCAACGGCTGACCAGACGCCAGCAGTAAAAAAAAACACTGTTACTGCTCGAGTAACTCCATTGTGTGGTCAAAGACATCGTGCGCGCTCGATGCCTCCAGAACGGCGGGTTGTCTAGCGTCATTTATATGTTCAATTTTCCCTACCGAACTATCATTAGAGAACTTAACATGGCACTTTGAATGTCACATAGTACCTGATCTGATGCCACCGTGGAATCTGACAGGTGGGACTGAGCTGGCAAAGAGTTGGGTTTTTGCTAAACCGACCAGACCTGGTGTTATGTACTTATGTACAACATTTAAACATACCTAGTCCAAAATGCAACTAGCGACACAATACCTGGTCTAAGTGGAAATTACTCAAGGAAAATCCATTACAAGATAATGTACAAGCCACACATCATGGTGTTCTTCTTAATAGAAAGATGCACAGACCTTTCTATATATTCTAGAAAAAGCTATAGCTCTACTTGCATATAATATATCTGTATTCTAGATAAAGTAACTATTCATAAACTAATTCTGTTTTCAGAAGAGCACATCATTTTACTTTAAGGTTATTGCAAAACATGGTGCCATTTCCAGCAAGATGGGCATTCCAAGTTCAGTCATTTGTTTTATGGCTATTCATCATTTGTGTTAAGACTCTTTCAATGCAATGAGAACAGTATCGAGATCACATTGTTTATTGCGCTATTTATTTTTATACAGGAGCGTGAGAAGGCACGCAACTTGAGCAAAGGCAATGCTGGACGTAAAGTCTCTGCGAGTGATATATTTAGCATCAAGGAAATACTCCGTTCTTCTGTTATGTGCCCGCATTGTGGCTTTGCCATCTCACGTGTGTCAGGCTGCGACCAGATGCTTTGCAGAAACTGTGAGAAGTCGTTCTGTTATGCCTGTGGCAAGCCATCAAGTCAAGGTCATACAAGGTACATATTGTCTTGTGATGTCCCCTTGTTAAGTGTGATCTGTCAAGCATCATGTAGCATATCTATTCTCTGGATAACTAATTCTGAACCAATGCTCCCTTTTGACAGTGAACAATGCAAAATCGATAGGGAGAAGCTGAGAGTGAAGGTGGAGGTGAATGATGTCGTCAGAAACATGCAGAAAGAGCTGAAACTGGCACTGTCCAGAGCGCATCTGTGCCCGGGTTGCCGCCAGCCGAATTTCAAGGTAAACGTTTGGTGGCTTCCATATACTCCCTCCGTCCCACAATATATGACGTTTTTGTAACCTGGTTTGCAAAAACGTCTTACATTGTGGGACGGAGGGAGTATCATGTATGGAATAGTGATATTTTTCAGTAGTGTGTTCTGAAGATAGCTCTAGTGTTTTCTACTCCTTTTTTCTCTTGATGCTTCTGGTGGATGAAAACAGTCTCTGATCTAAGCAAGTTGGGAACAACAACCACATCTTCTGCAAGACATGCCGGGTTCACTACTGCGCTCTGTGCCACACGGTGGTGCGCAAGAGCACGGAGCACTACGGCCCCCAAGGGTGCAAGCAGCACACCGTCGACCCCGACTTTGTCTAGAGAGGCTGCTGGACCAAAGAAGAGCGACGACCATGAATCAGAATTTTTCGGGAGATGATCCCAGGGGGTTTTGGCTCTGTCGAACAGGTTTTTGTCCTCCGCCGTTTAACAGTTCCAGATAGTATTGACAGTCACACTTACAACTCTCTTTTTTGAAACCGAACATTTTCTTTTGCGGGGTTAAAACCGAACATGTTACGTACTGGGGTATTGATGAACCCCGGAGATCATTTTGTTTTTTACATCGAGGATCGTCAGTTTTGTGCGAGAGGTTTATAACAGCAAAGCTTGCTGGATTTCAGTATAACACAAATATTAAGGCCGCGGCACTTTTTTTTTATTGTGAAAGAGTAAAAGGAAAGCTATGCGTTGCTCCCTTCCTTCGATGCTGCTCACACCTCCGTTAATCACTTGCGGTATCAGTGCTTGGCCCTGGGCACAGGATCGTCCCTCTGACGAACTCCGAGCACCCCCTTGACTCCTGCTCAGCCAGAACGTATGTACTCACACATCAAATATCTCTGTATTCCTAGCTAGGATGGAGCAAACCAGGAATGTTCACTCACTTGATAGTCTGCGGGCCTGGTTGTTGGTGAGGTAGGCGCTGAACCTCAGGGGCTCGGTCTCGAACATGACTTCCCATGCGGCCTCGTAGCTTGAGGTTTCAGAGAGAAAACACGATAGAGAAGCGTCAGAAAATGGCATGGAAATGTAGCCTGGAGAGGTAGGGGTTCAGGAGGAACAGGGCGAGGCGACCGACCTGCCGAGCACGGTACCGAGCAGGTTGTAGTTGTAGTCGTCTTCCGCGGCGCCGTCCACCTGGCGAACCGTCACCTGGAACAGGTGGATCTCCTGGCCGCTCCGTTGGGGCGGCGGTGGCGCCTGGGCGACGGCGAGGGTGAGAGTGGCCACGGCGAGCATCAGGACGGCGAGCGCTGCCGCCGACTGGCTTGTGGGTTTCGCCATGGTTGCCGGTGCGTTGCGGCAGCTGAAGAGAAAGAGATCGGTGTCGCTGTTGGTGATCTTGGGGAAAAGGGACGTGAACTGGGAGGGTTTTATAGGCGCTCTCGTCTGGGAGGTTTCAACTGTTACGTGGATCCCATTTAACAGTGGTTGGTTCAATGGTCATTACGACTGACGTTTTTCAGTGCCTGTTAATGCGAGATCTAAGACATGCACAACTCCAGTGTGTGCGCTGCACAAGTAGCTTACAGGCAGTCAGTTACATAGATTCAGCTGGCAGTTTTTATCCAAAAAGGGTTCCCCGCTTTGTATTCCAAAGCAACCAATACCAAGTACAGATAACACTGTGGCGAGCAGCACAACACATCAAAAAAAAAAGAAGAAACAAATGCCAACTACGGCAGCTCGGTAAAGCGCGGATGACCCGCCACCGCGGCGCCCACCGGAAACAAAACACCACAGACCGAGGCTTTGATCCGCCGCGTACCAAGCAGCACCTCCAAGAAGGGATGCGACGCCGACGACGCTGCTGCCCGGACGAGTCCTCAGATTTCCCCGGGCACGCGAAGGGAGGTGAGGGGTGGATACCACCGACACCCTCCAGGGAGGAATGGTGGCATCCGCAGGTGTCACCGCATCGGAGCCGAAGCCGGCAGGGATTTCTCCCGCATTCCAACCCCAACCGCCCAACCGAACCGAACCGACCGCCCAACCACCGCCCATCACCATGCGCCAACGCAGTAGCGCCACCACCCACGCCGCCTCACTACGAACACCACCACGAGGCCAAGAGGACCGGAGAGAAGCTCACCACGACGGGAGCAGCAACATCGACGCCGAGCGGGAGGGAACCACCTCCACTGCCGTCGTGCGGGAGGCCCGTGCCTCCGGCACCATCGCGGTAGCCGTCCGGACGCGGCAGCGGGGCATGCCGGGCCACCCCTGGCCCAGCCAGGCCCGAAGCGGGCCCGTTAAGCCCCGCCGGCCGCGATGCGGCAGGCCGGCGTCGTCGCCGCCGGCACCCAGCCACGCGTCGCATCTCCCCCGCCTCCCAGAAGCCACACC